GTTTGATGAACCCACCTCTGATGAGCCTACCTGTTCTCACAAAAGAGTTTTTCGCTAGGCCTGTTTTGTTTTTTTGTGGTTCGTGCCTGGCACATGTAGTAGAATTAAACTGTTTAAAGCATGATGTCATGCCACGTCATAATGTATTCAAGATCGCCAAAAGTACCGATCAACTTTGTATGGCGCAAAGATGCTCTTTTGTGCGGATGACTGATTCCAGTCCTTCTGTAGATGCGAAGTAGGCCGCCCTGTGCGGCCTTGATTTGTGCCCCACTCGGAAAGGCACTGATCAGACTTCTTCATGCAGAGGCTGGGAGAGATGCATCAGGCGAAGTAGGCTAGCGAAGTAGGCGAAGTAGCTATGACTGAGACAAAGCATGACTGATGGATGCCAAGATCTATATGCTGATCGATTAGTTTTTCAATGTTACAATTTGTCCAAGCAGTTTTATTGACCAGGAGTCACAAAGGGGTGGTGTTTAGTCCCTAAGTGAGTGCATCATAGGCATCCCTAACCTCCATGGATAGCACCCCTTTGTGAGGTTCTCTCTTAGGAAAAATGACACTGGCCGCAGTCCCTGGCCGCGCCCCGGCCCTGAACCCTGTGTCCGGGTGAGACTACTCCTTCTTGTCCACGGAGGAGTCCTCCTGCTGTCCTGAACATGTGTGTCTTCCCTGTTGCATTGCAACCGTAGAAGGTGAATTTCACTTACACTTACACTGGACAGTGCAAGAACCACCTGGTTTGCGAATGGACACCACATGATCCCCAGAACACCACATGAAACGGCGCCCGCAAAGCAGAAATACTTTTTATCTCGTGGTTCTTCAGTTCGTGACGGAACTTGATCCTTCCTTTCAATTCGGTCACAAGGACCAGTAAGTTCGCTCGGATGGGATTCACTGGTCACGAAGCACTGCGGACCGAAGCGGCGCGGCGCGTACTCCGAACCCGCCACTGGTTCTGTGGACTTGTGTCCTGAAGGCCTTCAGACCGGTGTTCCTCGTGGGTCCGTGAGGCCACCGGTGTCCGGTCGAAAAACCCACGAGTCCTCAGTCCACCCTGAGGAACACATCCACAGGTGCGGCCAGTCTAGGTCCACACTTTGGGAAAGGACACAAGTTGGGCCATGAAAGACCATGGCATTTTTCATGTTCGTGATGTGTTCCTTTGTTTCTTTACCACGACCATGATCGAAGCCGGTTCTTAGCGCTTGGGCGACCTCTTCACCGCGACCTCTTCGCGGTTTCGAGAGCCTCTTCACAGGTCCGTCACAGTCGAAAGCTCACACGCTTAAAGCCCAGCAGCTCCTTCTACAGCGTGGATAGCGTGCCCCGGCAGCGTGGGATCAACTTGGGATGTCCCGTCGGATGCCACCGTTCTGCGGAGCGCCACGAGTTTTGTCACTCAGCCACCATTTGGGATACTATACTGTACAGAGCCGATTTAGGGTTGGATCATTTGGATCGGGCTCTAATTTCAAGCGGCGAACGAAGACATCCGCAGCTGCACCGGGACGACTCTTGTGCCAAGGGGACGACTCTTTTTTGTGGAGAGAGCCGCTCATACGCCGTGTTTGTTTTCACCGAGTCCTATGAGATTCGCCCAAGCTTGAAAGAGCCGCTGGTCCCGGTGACGATCGAGGAGCCGCAGTACAACGCGAGCGAACGACCGCCGTCCACCGTCGGAGTAGCGAACAGAGCTTGAAAACGACGAGGGTCGTGCCCGGTCAGCGGTGCCATGACCCAAAGCCAGTTGATACCAGCCTGGAAACCCAAACAACCAGAAACAAATGGTTGTTCCAATATGGCAATTGAAATCCTTTATATACATAGGAAATGGTTGTTTGGGGAAACATCCATTTCTTTCTGGTTGTTTGGGGTTCCAGGAGGACATCCGCTATAAGGGGCTTCTATTGGTAGCCCCGAAAAGATGGTGATTCGGGGTGTCCATGAAGCACCCCTTTTACTCGGGTCCTTATGAGTTGTACTTATATGCGTGTGTATTAGGCAGACCTCCCAATTGGACCAAATACACCACAACCCATTGGGCCAGCTTTGTCCTCCCCTATTAAAGCTATACACCCATTATGTATCCATTGGTGTCATCCGATTCAGCGGGGTCCTGGCATCAAAGGCTGCCCCTTTGGGCACCAGAAGAGAGGATGGTGTTGGGTGTGGTACTTAGTTAGAATGTCCCATGCTTGGGTTGTTATGTGTTTCCAAAAGTGTTTCCAAAGAACTGTATGATACGCAGGCAGACGCCACTAGACTCTAGCGGTCATCAATGACGGGGTACTGAAGTCCGTAGGCTTGTGGGCAAACACCCAGAGTCCAGACCCGTTCATTTTCCCTATTTACATTTCATGGACTCAGGATCCCAGGATATCCTAGGCCTAGGCCTCCTTTCCTTTTTTTGAAGTTCTTCCATGTTCTTCCCAACTCGTGTTTTTGCAGCGAGAAACACTTGCAAACACCACCCCCAAGAAAGAGAACCGAGTGAGTAGCGTGGTAGCGTTGCGTGTTTTTCCACCCTTGACCGGAGGAAGAACCCATTGAGTCCAATGAGAAGGAGAGCGAACAGGAGACTCGTGCGACGTGGGAGACGATGCTGATTGGCCACTTTGGTGGGTCAAAACGGTGATCCAAATGGTGGATACATAAAGATATAATATGATATAATTAATGATGTATAATTTATAGAATGTTGACCTCTGATTAATAAACAGGGGTGGCAAACCTTGAAATTTTGGTCGACCCTAAATAAAGTATATCCCAGGTTTCAAGAAAGAATGTTGATTAGAAATGAAATGATCCCTTACTAAAACAAAGACTAAAATGAAAGGGAAGAGAGAATTTGAATTAGTCATGAAATGAACCCTTATTAAAATGAACATTAAAATGAAGGGGAATTAGTATTCAAATTTGAATTGATTTGGAATTGAATTTGAAATAATATCAAATTCATTGAATTTAAGATTAATTAGAATTGAGTTTAGATTCAATTGAATTGGAATTGACGTTGAATTAAAGCAAAATTCAATTGAATTGGAATTGCAATTGAATTGAATTAGAATTGAATTTAAATCAATGTTAAATTCAATTGAATTGGAATTGAATTAGAATTGAAATGTAATTAAACTTAAATTGGTGGTTATAAAGGTTCTTAAATAGGTGGTTATAAAGAATTGTTATCAACCGGTTTCTAGGTTTTGGTAATTCCAACTTAATTAATTGATTGATAAATAGTAAAAGATAATGTTTTAGAGGGAACCAATTAAGAAAAGCTTTAAAGCTTTTTGGAACCAATAGAAATCCATGAGCTTGATTTAGGGTAAACTTTATTTAGGGTTTGGTGGCTTCATGGGGAAAACCCTTTCCAGCATGGTTTTGATCAATTTACAATTGTCTTTTAATAGTGGATTTATAAAGAATTGTTGTCAGAAGGTTCTATGGTTTGATGATGAAGGATTTAGTTGAGAAGGAACCCAAAGAAGCAATCTGTTAACAAAGGAATGAAAAGAACTAATTAAACACAAATTCAATCAAGCTTTTTTTCAGTACACAAAATTGGTTAGATTTATTTAGGACAAACTCTATTTAGGGTTTGGTGGCTTCAGGAAAATTCATTAGCTATATTTTGGATTTAGGGTTTGGTGGCTTCATGTTTTTTCCCAAACAGTGTGGACACACTTAGGGGTTCTTACGGTAGATATTAAGCAGCTGTGCTTGGATCGCTGCGCCGCGACGCCCTGTCCGGCTAATTCGCTGCTATTTACAGTACATTCATGTCTCTCGAAATCCTCGATGTGCATTTCGACTGCGCGGCGAGTGCTTGTCGATGATGTGGCAATGGAAGCTTTCAAGGATATCTTGTGGCTTTATCCGAAAGTGAATTGCACCGTCTATGACAGGGCATGTGATGCCTGCGGCCAAGGAGGATACAGACCTCAACCAAATCACACACTATGTGGTTGATCGCTTCCATTCTCTTCGCCATGGTCCCAAATGCAGCTGCAATCCTCGTTCACTAGATCGAACTGAGTAGTTTTATACATATATTTATAAACACGCTATATTAGTGTCTCAAGAAACACGTCGGTTCCTTTTCAGCTCGAACAACTGATGCCTGCGATCGTTTGTGGTCATGTCCTTGCGGTGTTCTCACCACGGACTCCCCCCTTCAGCTATGCTGAAAGCTCTTGGAAAAGACAAAACGTCCAGGCTCAAGGCATCATTCACCCTGGCATTTCGAGCGGTAGTACTCCGCTCTCATCTTCTGTACTGACCAGCCTTTGCCAGCGTGGAGCTGCTGGAACTTGTTCCAAGGGTTCGCTGGGCCATGATCGACCTTTTTGGTCGTGAGCCTCTCTGGCGTCTTCTTCATGGCCTGGTGCAGCATCTCCACTGCAGCTTCGGCTGCTTCAGCTGCCAGTTGGGCACACTCAGCAGCCCTTTCAGCACCCTCTGCAGCATCACTTGCCGCCTGGGCCACCGCTGCGCTGGAAGCGCCCGACTGTTGCCTCATACTCAATGGGGAAGCGCTCAGCTGCAAGCCCGACTGTGGCCTCAAATCCCGTGATGAAGCGCTTAACTGCAGGCCCGACTGTGGCTTCAAAGACCGGGACAAGATCTCTGATGGGATGAAGGCCGTCCATGATCTTGTACATGGTGGTGTCCCTGTTCTTGCTCACCACCATGATTCGAAGACGCGGTCTTTGACCTCCTGGCTGGTGTCCTTTCACTCTCAACAGCTTCTTCCTCAGTGGACACTGCGTCATCGTCCTGCTGAGGTGTCATCACCTGTTCTAGCCCTCGTGCCCTCCTCCGTCTCAAAGGGGTGGTGTGAACCAACTCCTCAACCTCATATGGATCCTGTGGCTCAAACGGTTTGCTGGGCACCGCTTGCAATCGTCTCACGAAGGTGGTTTCGGATTCTTCACCTCCTTGAGCTTCAGCTACACGGACCATCATGGTGCCAACGAAAAGCGTTTGCAGCGCTATGCTGTGATCTGGCTGTTGCGGAGCTCCTTGACCCAACCCCAAACTCTTCACCTGAATCTCACCCTTCTTGAGGCCCAAGTCATGGATGAAGCCAGCAAAACTTTGGCGTGCTAACGGCTTTGTCATGCCGTCCGCTACAAGCTCCGTTCCTTTGAGGTGGTGCAACTGCCATGACCCTCCGGGGTAGCTGTTGTTGTCCTCCAAGGCCTCCTTTAGGATGTTGGAGCGTACCCGTAGGTGCCTCGTGCGCCACGAGGTGTTGGAGTTGCCGTAGGCCAGACTGATGGCTGCAGCGTTGTCACCATAGATCACCCTTTCCAGCTTGTTTTCTCCAGTGCATATCAGCGCTTCAGTCGCACGGCCTGCAGTCAAAGCCTCACAGTATGAGACCAATTCGGCCTCCGCCGTGCTATGCGTGACAAAAGGTTGTGACGAGCTCTGCCAAGCAATAGGGGATCCACCAAAACAGATGACCAGCCCTTGGATGCTCTTGTAGCCAGAGCCCGTGCTATAGGCGATGTCCGCAAACACTTCCAGCAGCATCTCATGGCGAGGCACTTTCAATTGGTCACGGGGACCCCATTTGTTCTTGATCTCCGGCGGATAGTGCAAGTCGCCTGGATTGCCCTTGATGTAGGCCAGAAGGGTTCGTCCTATCTCAATGGCCTCTTTGTGAACCTTGATGTGCAGATTTCGTGGCAAGCGCAGCACTGTGTGAACCTTGAAGTGCATCGTGGCAAGCGCAGCATGTTGTGAACCTCGATGCGCAGATTTCGTGGCAGGTGCAGCACTTGTGGTGAACCTCGTTGCGCCTCGAAGTGCAGATTTCCTGGCAAGCGCAGCGCTTCCTGAACCTCAAAGTGCAGGTTTCGTGGCAGGCGCAGCATTTTGTGAACCTCGATGTGCAGATTTCATGGCAAGCGCAGCACTTTGTGAACCTCGAAGAGCAGAATTCGTGGCAGGCGCAGCACTTTGTGAACCATGATGTGCAGATTTCGTGGCCCGGGCAGCGCTTTGTGAACCTCGATGTCCAGATTTCGTGGCAGGTGCAGCACGTGGTGAACCTCGATGCGCAGATTTCGTGGCAGGTGAAGCTTGCTCTAGCTTGCTCTTGCTTGCCCCAACTTTCCCTGGGTTGCTCTAGCTCGCCCTTGCTTGCTCTAGCTTGCTCTTGCTTGCTCTAACTTGCTCTAGCTTGCGCTTGCTTGCTCTAGCTTGCTCTTGCTTGCTCTAGATTGCTCTGGCTTGCTCTTGTTGGCTCTTGCTTGCTCTAGCTTGCTTTTGCTTGCCCTAGCTTGCTCTAGCTTGCTCTCGCTTGCTCTTGCTTGCTCTAGCTTGCTCGTGCTCGCTCTTCTACTTTTGCCTTGCAATCGCATTTTAGAAGATACTATGCACGTGCTCGACCCCGTCTACCAGCTTCCCAGTTCGAATACATCGTTTTTTATAGTTTGCGACTTAACGCTGTTTGGGGTCTCTTGCCGGGATAAGTCTTATTTTTGTGTTTATTATTACTATTTTTGCTATTTCTTTAGTTTAGTGTTTGTGTTTTAGCAATATTTTTTGCAAAATGTGCTAACTTTATTTCGGATCTCTTTATTAATCAGAGGTCAACATTAATATGTATATATATATGTATATATATATATATTTTTTTTGAAATTGTATATAAAACTATATATAATGTATTATATGGTATATGATGTGTTACCAGAGTGTTGGTCCAACCATCTGCAGAGAACTCCAGAAATACTCGCTGTATTCGTGACGATGGTGTGCTGGGAATGCGATGATCTTTCATCTTTGATTGGTGTGCCAGTGCAGGGTCTGGTGGATGGAAAGGCCGCAGCAGATGTGGAGAATCCGGCGCATGGTGGCGAAGATGAGGCTGCTGGGAACTGCCAGGGTGTGTGGGTGCGTGTGAAAACAATGTTCAAAAAGGAAATGATTCACTCTCAAACTGCAAGAAACCTGACTGTTTGACTACAAATGCTTGCCAGAGGGTTTGAAGTGCAACATTTTTTTTCTTCACCATACTTCACCTGCTTATTAGGGGAAGTGCGGAGGACTCCTTTCAGCAAGCCTTTCCAACCAGCTGCTACCCAATGCATCACTGGGTACTGGGGTGAATTTACTTTTGCAAGTTGCCACAACCCTCACAGGAAGAGTTCACGGGTGGTCATGGGTGGAGGGCTCCGGACCAAGCTCATTCGCAGTGGAGGGCTTCCAAGGGCCAAGGCTGGCCTGACCCAGACCATCTCGGAAGTTTGGAAGAAGACCCCGCGTGAAGTTTGTGAACCACTCAAATGGCAAAGGGCCAAGGGGCCAACTACCTAGTGAAAGACTCATCCAATATAGTTATGTCTCTGGTAGTTCTGGTTGCACCACTCAGCTGGTCAAGGCCTATCAAGGCCTTAAACATGGAGTTTCTGCAGAAAAGGCTGTGATGGATCAAGTCAGAGCATGTCAGAACCCGGAATGAGCTGCTCAATCAATCGAATATCAGGAAAGAAGAAGCACTGGTCTCAAACCAGCAACGAGTTTCCAGTTGAAATCCACGAATTCACAGATCATTCAACTGCAAAACAGATGAATCATGAATGAATCAGATGTTGCATCCAGCTTAGGGTCCTAAATATGGAAGAAACACCACCCTCTCTCACACTTTGGGCCACTTTTGGAGCTCCTCGGCCCCCATGTCCTTCCTCTGGCGGCTCCTCACCGCGCTCCTCGCGGCGGTGCGTGCACCGGGGCTCGGCGGACTCGACGCTGCGGGGCTCGGCGCGCCGGAGGAGATGATGGCCTCGTCGGCCGTGGGGAAGAAGCCGATGCGCCTGGCCAAGTCAGAGCCCTTCATCGCGTGCGAGACGTGCAAGCTGGCGACGGCGGAAGCATGGACGCGGGTGGCGCAGAAGAAGGCGGAACGTCCCAAAGTCGCACTTGGAGAAGTGGAGATTGGAGAAGTCTTGGATTCGATTTGTGATCCGGATGATGATCTGGGTGAATGGATGACCTTTTATGATATCGAACAAATCGATGACACTTTAAGCCTCCGCAAGATGGAACAGCTTGGGGAGTGCCGTCGTGAATGTACCACCTTGATGCATGCCTGCCGTGCCGTTTTCGACGAATACAGGGAAGACATGACGGAAATGCTTTTCAAACACTACAGAGCTGAAGGGACCAACCAGGTGAAACGTGCTCTCTCTGCGGAAAAATTTTCCTCACGGCTTTGCACCAAGCTGTCGAAGTATTGTCCCTCAAAGAAGCCTCCAGCTGGCTTTCAGCATCGAGATGAGAAATGGATGCCGGTGATCGACGAGGAGAGCTACCGGATGCGTAAGATGCAACAAGCCTTGAACAAGCAGTCGAAGGAAGGTCACACACAGCCAGTTCAGTTCTTAGATCCGATGGGTGCTTCGATGTTTCTGAATGAAGATGAAGACTTGTGAAGTTCCGCCTGGTGCACCAGAGACCTGTCTGTGAGACTGTGGCGGCCCTGGGTTGCCCCGAAAAACCGCCGCTCCGGAGCTCCAAGCCGGCAGCCGAGCAGCTTCGGTCGCCCCAGCGCTCGACGGCAGCCGATTCTTCGGATCCATTTGGGGGACCCGATCTTCAAGTAGCCTCAGAAAATGGGATGTGACATCCAGCAGAGGTTGAAGAACCCTATAGACTATCCTATAAGGTACCCCTGTAGGGTCCTAGTTCAGGTCACTTAACCTCTGTAGGATGACCCTACCAAAAACAGGTCTTCATCCTTGGGAAGGTCCGACTGGGCCCCCCTTTTCCAAGGTACTTTCAGACTCCAGGGAGGGTCCTCCCATCGGTCAAACACACCGAGCTTTATAGGTCATTTGACAGGTCACGCACAAAGGGACAACACCAAAAGATCCCATTCCTTCAACGGTTGACCCTCTAACCATCTCTAACCATCGCAGCGCACCGGTGACACAGCCGAAGCTGGGTGGTAAACGAGGTGGTGAATTGACACTTGGTGGGGCAGACCTGCCCTGACATACATCATGCCCCCATTGGGCTCGATCGGAAGGCCCCCGAGATCTCGCCCACACACCGGTGTCCGCCGCACAGGGCGGGGTGGGACAGAACACCCACAGGTGCCTCAGGAGTATCACAACCCCACCTTGCCGCGACCCATGGGTCACTTCACTGACTAAGTCAGCTAAAACAATGCAGCATGCTGCGAGGTGAACATGTTCGTGACTGGTCGCCGCTCCCTACTGCAAGAAACTATCAACAGCTAGCTATAATAGGGACTATTAAGCTATTGAGTCCCTACTGCTATAATATTGCCTGTTTCAGTGGGTCGACTCGGGTTCTCCGCGGAGCCAGGGCAAACTTCATTTGAGACATGTATATGCACAAAACCGTTGAAGGTCAAGAGTTTGGTCCAGTGTTGTCCAAAAGGTGACTCGGTTTTTTTTTGTTCAGGACTTGCGCAAGTAAAGCCACCAAGAGGTTGAGCCAGAAAACACACACCAGCGTCCATTATGGATTTGCATCGTAGCGGCTAGCAACAAACCCTAGGCGGTTAGACCCCCCTGGCTCCCACCCCAACCTTCAGAAGGTGGGCCAGGAGCCCTAGGGAAATATCATCATTTCATAGCTGATCCGGGTTCTCCTCGACAGGCAGCCGAAGAAGTGGCCGAAGCGGAGGAGAATCCACAGGCGAGTTCGGTTTGGGCCGAAGCAAACTCCAAACGGCTCGATCTGTCTACCTGGAGTCTCAAAGTACCTCGGAAAATGGGGCCCCAGTCGTACCGATATTTTTGTCGGATCATGTTCCATTTTCCTAAGGTACTTGAAGTCAGGTCCAGGTAGAGATCCACAAGTAATGCGCTGGTTATTCCAGCCACGAGAGCCCTTTGAAGGTGCTGGTACACAGTATATAGCAGGACCCCTCCAAGGGGTGTCTTCAAATAGCCTCTTAGAGGTTCAGGGCTGTCCAAGAACCACCTGTTGGAAGGTCCTGGTAATAGTATTACGTGCTTTTGGGACTGAGGGCCAAGCGATCCATTGGTCCCTGTCCCTGTCACAGCGGGCCCCAAGCAGGTGCTGTCACCATGTTTTGGGCTGGTGCTGTCTCCAACCCCTATACCAGTCCACTTTGACTCAGTAAAACCTGGTCCAACCGAACATGGCATTTCGTAGCGACCATGTTACAAAGAGAACCGCGTGGCCACTGTCCACCCATATACATCCACCCATCCACCCATCCACCCACCCACCCAGCCAGCCAGCCAGCCATGCATCCATCCATCCATCCATCCATCCATCCATCCATCCATCCAGCGAGCCAGCCAGCCAGCCAACCAGCCAGCCAGCCATCCAGCCATCCAGCCATCCAGCCATCCATGCATCCATCCATCCATCCATCCATCCATCCAGCCAGCCAGCCATCCATCCATCAGTCCAGATCCAGATCCATTTAGGCTTTTCAAGACCTCTCGCTTTGTAGAGAGGTGCAGCAGTGATCTTTTGTGACCCCAACAACTTCCTGCCCGTGAAGAAATCGCCTGCTCCACTCACCTTCTTTGCCAGGAGGCTGCTCAGCGCTCTGACTCTGAAGCAGTCAAGGCCGTCTGCCGCCCCCAACGACCGATGGAAGCGTCCGAAAGCCGACTTCGCGTCCGCGGGGTCATCGGCGTGGACAGGTTGTCCGATGACCACGGCGTGGACCCGGCGACGCATCATGACCCACGGAAGGAAGGAAGCAAGCAAGCAAGCAAGGAAGGAAGGAAGGAAGGAAGGGCGTGGATCACTTGCACTGATGATTTGGGGGGATTGGGGACAGCTCACTGAAGAAGGAGAAGAAGAAGAAGAAGGTGAAGAAGAAGGTGAAGAAACAAGAAGGTGAAGAAGGTGAAGAAACAAGAAGCAAGAGTTGGAACTCATGACAAATATATAAGCCTTTCGAAGGTTCGAAGCTTTTCGTTTTTTTCGGATCGATGTCCGGGCAATTGGACCTTGACGGAAGCCCCCCTGATGACCACCCACGTAGGACCGACAGGTGCCACCTGAGGGTCTTCCTGCTCTTCAGGAGGCCTTCACGCCTTCTCACCTTCAGGTGGGCAAGGAGAAGGAGGGGTTGGGATTTCAAGTGGATCAATATTTTTCGCAGCTTGAGAGGATGTTCGACCGGCTTTGCATCTGGTGGGTCCAAGTCAACGCATATGCAGTGTCAGTGTTAGATACACGCCTCCACCTTCTTCCAGGAAAGATCAGCAGAGTATCAGAGGCATTTGGAGGAGAGAATATCTGTCAGACAGGGCAGGACATTGGGACACTTTTTGGCGGTGGATTTCTGCCCCACAAGGAGTCAAGGCAAGCCTTTGCCTGGCAACATGGTGCCCAGTCTTGGTGCCCAGTCTTTTCGTAAAACTCTTCCGAATCACGGCTTGCGAGAAGAAGAAATATCGGGAAATCAATGGAATTCATCATATTTGATCCCTTCCACACGTTTGACTCCTTTGACCCTGGTCAGAACCATGGTTCCGAACAGCATGACATCGGACGTGGAACCGACCAACCGCGCCGGAACCCCACACATCTTCACCTGGTTCGGGTCGTTTGACAGTCGAACCAGGTGAACATCCCAGCGAACATGAACATGCCAAAACAACGATGTGGAGTCTGGAGACTGGCAGGTTTTGACCCCAAAAGGTCACCTGGGTATGCAGTTTGGTATAGACTGGGTCGATTTCTCCTTCACCTTCACCATCCTTCACCCAGAAAAAGGCGACTGGACCCTCTAAGGTGCCCAGAAATCACCTGTGCTCGGGTCCCAAAAGCACTGGACTTGGAGGGTGGGGTCGGTACAAACCGCTTCCTTTCGTTGTTTGGGGACGTTTTTCCACTTTTTTCGTCGTTTCAAGGCACGAACGTTTCATCGGCTGGCCGATCGAGTTGCAACGGGGTGGTAGTGTAGGCTAGCCCATTCAGGATACGTGGACCGGTTGCCCCCTGGAATTCACCTCCATGCTACCTGCAACACGTGTGTCCATGTGTCCATGTTCGATCCTCGGTCGGTCGGAACCGACCTCCGCGCGTCCAGGAGACCTTCAGCGCCTTCAGCTCGCCTGAGCCCCTCGCGGGCGTCGCGGAGTCGCCGCCGGAGGTCGAGCCGCCCTCGCCGGACTTGGAGTCGCAGGCGCCGCGTGCGGACGTGGAATGGGGTGAAGGGGTGATGACACGGGTCATGTGGAGGACATCCATGGAGATGATATGGTTAATTAATTATGTCTTTGGATGTGCAACATTTTTGGAGCAGGCATTTTAGATTGAAATAGGCGTTTGCGGGATGTTCACTCTTGTTGTTCACATGAATCGTAAGACATGTATCCAAGTCCAGCACCACCTCAGATGCATCACCGAGATCTTTTTCTTACAACATGTCTCACGATGATCTTTTTGGTATCAAAACAGCATGAAGAAAGAACGCTGTTCATAACATCAGTGGTCGGCATGGGTGGCGAGCAGCTGGGAGAGGTGTCGGGATTCCAACCCGAAGGACGGGCGTCCTGCCCGCCCCTCCGCCAGGGAACGCCCAAGATCTGGCTGCCACCAAGGACGGGGTGTTTTCCAAACGCGAGAAGAGAATACACAGAAAGCAGCTTGCTTCAGTCTTCAGAGAGACTTGCGCCCATGAATGACGGCACTATACAAACATCATCAAACATCGAAAACGGCACCAAAGATTTGCCACTAATCCCACATGAAGAGCTGTCAGCTTAAGGCTTAAGGATGGGATTCCCCAAATCTGTTTTCAATGCGACATTCATGAAGCCCTTGCAAGGTTCATATCACACATCCAGTGAACCACATGGCACTTGGCTCCAATCCTGCCACATCGGCAAAGCAGTGCTTACACAAAGCACCTTGCAGCTTCTACGCAAAGCAGTGCTTATGGCTTATGCAGCACAAGGTTTACATTTACATAAGGCCCTTCTTGCACACACCACTATTTGCACACCAGAGCTTCTAAACAAACCAGCGTTTACACCGCAACATTTGGACGAAGCCCCCTCCTCAATAATTAACCACAAAGGGGCGGTATCACACCAGACCACTTTCAACCTCTCCTCTTTCTATATAGAAAGTGTGTCTCGCTGATCACCTGGTAAACCTCTACCTTTTGTTGTTTCACACCCTTCCTCAACGTTTTGTGCCAGAAATTCTCGCGCGGGTTCAGCAAATGGATGGGTCCACGGTGTTCAGTTTCTCGGGTGATACCCTCTTGTTCACGCTGCTCCCTCTCCCCCAGCGGCTTTTGGAGGACCAAAGATTCTGAGTTACACCCGGAAAGCAGTTGCGGTCCAAACACCCCAAAACTGGTGCGGGGCAGGTCGGCGGCCAGGTTTGCGGCCGGCTAGGTCCACTTCCACTGGACCCCGGCTTAGCAGCAGGACGGGCTTTCTGGGGTTGTGCTGCCCTACGAGGACACAAGGCGCCTATGCTGATCTATGGGATGTGGCTCTTTTGGTGTTTGCACAAGTCAATCATGTGATGTCAACTTCTTGTGTTGGTTATTGTGCTATTGGAAATGATATAGCATTGCTTGGCATAGTCATGCTGGTTCTTGTGGTAACTCTTATGTGCACATTCCTCCTAATGGATGGCATCATCTCTAGAAGTTCTTCACCGGTGCAGGGTTGTCTGATGCCGAGAAGTCTCGCCCTAGAATACCATCGTGGGATGTGGGACATGATGATATGACGTTGCCAAGAACACCATCCATATGGTGCTTTTTGAGGAAACTGATCGGAGAAGATTCCTCATGTTCGGAGGATCATCCAGGAGCATCAGGTTTTGGGGATAGCAGGGTAGCAGGTAGGCGGTATGTGCTAGTATGCTCTCGAGATGCAGCTATGGAAGCGAAAGCAAGTTCCTAGTCTCCGAATCTGTGTGTTCTTAAGGAGCTTTTGCATGATATAGACACGAAGATACCTGCACTTCTGTAATTGGTGGCTTTGGTGGTCCAAATGTGTTCTTTTTTAGTGCAAGTAATACTAGATCTCGTGGTGTTCACATACTGCCTCCCTTCCACAATGGCAAGATGTTTACAGTCCAGTCAACGGCAGAGTGTAGTATCGGTCAACATGTTTAACAGTTTTGAGGTAATGACTAACCGAGTCAACATCATTGGTTCTCGTGCCAGATTGCTGCCCAAGACCAGAGACAGGAGATTAGGACCAGGACAATGCGTCGTCGGTGTTGAGGGAGACGCGTCCGGCTTGGGGAGCCAAGCCGAACTGCTTGGAGAGGGCAACTTATGGTCTTCAAAGTGGTTTTCCTTTCAAATCACTCCACCGCTAATTATTAGTAAAGAGGCCATCGCTATTTGCTGGTTAGAGGCATGTGAAGACCCTCTTCAGTCTGTTTTAACATGTAAACTTTGTACTCAGCGGAGGTTTTGCATCAAACACCCCACACAAGCCTATAGCCTATTAGTAATGCTTTTTGAAGACGAGGCATTCGGAAACCATTTCTGACTGCATGATGCTTCAGCCTGCCACACTTAAAGCTGAATCGGTGTGAGCCTGTATTCAGTCTTGTGGAAGTGGAGCAGCAGTCGTTCGTCTCCTTTGCAACCGACATCATTCGTCTCCTTTGCAACCTCCATCGTGCCAGCTCGGATGTTCTCCATCATTCGTGGCCACTAAGGGGCCCTATCCCCAGACACTCCATGTATGCCATATATGCCTACATTGACCCCCCAAACCACCCCAACTGATCGGCATATATGCCATACATGGAGTGTCTGGGATCAGAAGTTCCGTGTCATCGCATTTCAAACACTTCATTGTCTCCTGGAGACACGAGCGATTACGTGGAGGAACCGACCGAGATCTCGAACGAGCATGACACCAGCAAAACGGTATCGTTCGCTTCCAAGGCATGATGATCCCAATAGGAAATCCCTGGAAGAGACCCACATGGAACCTGAAAACCACGTCGGGTTGTAGAGGAAAATCGTCTTCCAAAGTTTCTTTTTCAGGTTCCATGTGGGTCTCTTCCCGGGTGTATATGATATGGATGTCCTACCACAAATATCCAAATGCCCCGCTGTTTGAGGGCCAGCAAGGGGATGACCTTCCTTGAATGTTTGTTGCCCCGCATCAAGATTTGGGAAACCCGTTCTCCGTTTCTGCAGAATGATTTGAACAATCAACACTTAAATCTAAAGGTGCGTAGTTTTCTCGCAAACGAGGGGTGCTCCAGCGATTATATAATCGCCACTCTATGTCACTTCACCCCGGCACGAAGTGGCGTGAAGTGGCAGGAAGTGACACTAACTGACTTGAGGCTGTGGTACGAAGTCTCATGAAGGCTTGGTTGATTAGATCAATGAGACAGGTTAGTTGCACGCTGCACCCTATCTTTGGGGACATATGCGTGTATCAAGACGTACATGTACATCAAGTTCATGCACCAGTGGCGTGAAGCGCTATGAAGTGGCCTTTCTTGCTGCCCCGTTGCACGTATTGGCACGTCCTTTGTCAAGTCGGGATTGATCATATACCAGCAGTTTCAACGGGCAACCCGGGGACCCTCCATGTTCGGCATCCAACCCCTCGAAATTCCTGGTGCAATGATTTTCTTAACCCAAGCCATCCCATGTATAATATGTATGGAATAGTTATGTATAGCATAGGTAAATGATGGTAAATGTATATGTATACCTAGAGCCCATTTGACCTCGGTTTTGATAGGAAAAGACCACCTTTTGGGTGGTTGGTGATCCAAAATAGAGGTCACACAGGTTCTAGGTATAGCTATGCCAGTCCCATGGGTTGCAACCACCAACAGCGATCTTCTGCAGGAAGGGCACCGATGTGCGGGCTCCGTCCTGTCAGCGTGTTGGCCCCAGCGTGGAGATCTGACGTAGACCTGGCGCCATGAGAATTGGACCGCTTGCATCATGTTTGCATATATTTACACCCCAGTCCCACCTTCTCAGAAGGTACTTGGAGCCCTAGCGGTTGTAAATGTTTATACGTTGTGACATTGAATTGATGGCGGAACGTCGCCAGCTTGACTTGTGGTGTCCTGCGAGGCGATGACGTACAGTATTCCCTTTCGATTTGAGGCTTGATGCCCACAGGGCACTTTTGGCCACCGATTTCTTGCGGCCCAGCCAAATGCTGCAAATGCCAGGACAAATCAGATCATGAAGATAGCCTTTGTAGCCGAAATTCAACCCACCCTGAAGACAAAGCCTCGGGGCACAAGCAAATAAGAACGTTTTTTTCCTTGCTGAACAGTTTGATTGGTAAGCCTCACCATTCAAGGCATTTCAAGGCTACCTGAACCCTCCGTCGTAGCAGAAAAAAGTGACAGAAAAAGAAACTGCACATCATCAAAAAAAGTGTTCATGCCTTGAAAAAGCGTACCACTGGAAAGTCAGATGTAGCTTCATTCCACCTTATGTGGTCTTCAAGTCCATTCCCCTGCCACATGCTGGCACCCATCCCATGCACACACAACACACGCTCACACAGTACGAAGCGGCAGCCAGCAACCCCTTTCTTTGATCATCAGTATCAACATAAAATATACAGTAAGTAAAATAACAATCCGCCACTTTTTAAAGTTGCGCCCGGGTTGCGGGAATTTGCGCCCAAGTTGCAGGCACCCTTTTTGGAAAAAATGTTGTAAAGCACGCCCAGAAGGTTAGAACCAAGCCTTTGTGGTTTCATTTGCACATACTACTAGTAGGAGAGGTCATATAGGATTTCCACCCGGTCCATAGGGCCCCCAAAGGCCCACAAGGGTTGATAAGGACACTGGTCAGGAACCAGTAGGCTTTAGAATTTACATCACCAAAAAGCGCTCATATGTCCTGAAAAGTGTACATACCCTCAATTAACGCTCAAACTTCCAATAAGTGCTCCAAACCATGGTTCGCCAGAAATAAGTGCTACGAAGGATGCTTCAGGTATTCATTTGTTAGATATCCTTTCATGTAGGCACAAAGGCTGTCGGACGGCACAGACAAGAGAGAGGTGACAGGTGTGACCGTCAGAACTGCAGTATTTGGAATGAAATACGTACAGGTCAAGGAGTCAATGACAGCCACAGAGGCTCCACCGATTGTGGAGCGTTATAACTTTAACCAGCCTTGTGGCTGTGCCAATTGGTTGTGAGGAATGCAGCTTCACGTTAGACCAAATCACCCATGAATTCAGCAGTCCAAGCTTTTGTTGCATGCAATCATTCAATCATTCAACGAGGCTGGTGCGTTTCACGCGTGAGCCAATCTCAATTGGCTTTGTACGATGTTGTCTGGATCCATTTTTTTTGTCCCAGAGAACGCAGATGGAAATAAAAGGACAGGCAGAGTGACCTTGTTTGCTGCAGAGTCAAGATATCAAGCTGAGAAAGTGACGTTGTTTTTGATGTTCGAAGAAGGCCAGAGGGCCATTCTGCAGGATGACCAGCTCAGCTGACACCAGGTTCCCTGCTGGGACACCAGGTCCGGCTCCATGGGGCTTAGCATGTTTACCATGATTTAGCTACATTGGGGGTGGTTTGATGGGGCCTGTAGATACTCATCAAATCGAGATCATAAACAAACTAATTTCAAACCTTAAATAGACCATATAATAAATTGAACAGAGAAAACCACCAACATACCATCTCCTATGGGTCCCACTTTTGTCCCATTGGTTCGGTCGAGTCGTGGGTCCGATCTGCCAGGTGCTTCAGTGGTTCCTGGGACCCCATGGGCACCACAGGACGCCGCTGTTGACCGGTGTCGGAGCACGGAGCACGGAGCAGGGAGGTGCCGAAGCCGAAGTACCGAAGTACAGCGTTCGTCGGTTTTGGGAGGTGCCGAAGGGTGCCGAAGGGTGCCATGGGATGAATGGGTACCTGGTACCTGGTACCTGTTTTTGTTGACGCTCCGGACTGGAAGATATGATGCGCCGATCAAATGACCCCAGGTCAACTACCCCAATGTATGTCGTGTCTGGGATAGGGTCATGTCCCGTTCCAAGCTACGAACGTCGATCGTCCTGTCCCACCTCGATCCCGAGCCCCCGTGCGAACGTCGCGGACGTCGCTCGTGTTCGGCGGCACGTGCCGTGCGGTGCGACGAAGGAGGGCGGGTCGCTCGCCGAGTAGGTTTGCTTGGGGGCACCCGAACGGGATCGTGTCGCTACGAAGCCACGGCGTCCAACACAGTCGACGGGGTCGGCCGGTCTAGGTGGGGCCTAGACCTTCCGCCGCGGCGCGGCGCGCCCCACCCGTCCGGCGCGGTCTGAGCCGTGGACCCGCGTGTCGAGGAGAAAGGTCTTCCCGCTGTGACCTACGACTTCCAGATCCTTCCAGGCCGACCCTCGCGGTGCATCCGATCCACCCCGGGAAGAGCAGTAAGAGAGGCTATGAGCAGGCTATGATCGCTATTGAAGGGTGTGACCGAAAAGGCGAAGGAAGGGACGTGTTTCTGTGCAGTACGATGTTCTGTTCTCTCCAGAACAGGCTGTTGTTTCAGAGTCCAGAGCGAGCGAAGCGATGAGCAACATGCACGAGTTGCCGCAGTTGGTTGGGACAGGCGAGTTCGCCAACCTCTTCACTGTAGAGGCTGGCCTGGATCCTCTGTGTGTGATGTCCAAAGAAGAGATAGTTCTTGGGCCTGTCCGAACCAGCATCATCGTCCACTGTTACTGGATAGACCCAAGACATTTCACATAAATCCTGCAGTGTGAGCTGAGCTCTTTCTGGATCAATGTCTAAATTGACTCGACCTAGTTCCGACGATGCAGGTACCCGAAGGTGCTGGCAAGCCCGACAAGCAGGTGCTGCGTTTCGACGACTCTGGTGGACTCGTCCAAGTGAAGTATCCCTAGGGCTCCAACCATATCCTCAGAAGGTGGTTAGACCCCCCAAACCCACCATAACCATCTTCTCAGGAGGTAGTTGGAGCCCTAGGGTATTACAAACATGCGTTTTCGCGATCACCTTGAATTCGCTCTGGAGAGATCACCATTGGTTTCCAGATCTATATATACCAGCTGCTTCCGTATACGGGGTTACCTGGACAACCAGCCCCAATGCTTATCCCGGTCTCTGGGTCGCACCCCGACAGGAAGTGGTAGGTTTGCTAGGTATACTGTTCTCGTGACGGGTGGATTCGATTTCACAACACTGCAACCACCCGGTCGGCGCATGCGATGTCCTCTCTCGGG